TATTGGTTAGTGCATGATCCCTTACCCAGAGTTTGAATCCCCCCACCAATTATTAAAAAAAAACCTAATAACTTTGTTAATTATCAATTTAAAAAGCAAATAGAAAATAAGATGAGAACCCCCTCCACCAATTATTAAAAAATAAACCTAATAACTTTGTTAATAATTTTGTTAATTATCAATTTAAAAAGCAAATAGAAAATAAGATGAGAGCTTCCTTAGAAAGTAACTTATTTCATGTAGAATATACAAAGTAAAAAGTCAATTTATTTAAGTTTAAAAAATTATTTTTTTCACTCTTGTGCACAGAGAGTGAGAGAAACTTGTTTCATAGTTTCATTCAGTCATATATATGTAATTCTATCATTACTGTTAATGTGCATTATTTTATATATCCAATATCTTGTAAATTTTATTAAATTTTTTAGATGAATAAGAATTGAATTATATATAAATTCTTTTTAACTATTTAGTATTTTACTCGATTTGACTCAATTTTTAAAAATGCTCTAGCTCCCTTTACTCCCCATGTATTTAAAGTTTGAAGTCTATCCCATATCCTATTATATCTGTCAGCCATGTTACCCTTTTAATATATATATATATATATATAACAATAAAAATTTTATTATCTCAAACAAATACTAAGATATTTTAATTAACTTAAATTTTGACATACATGATCTGCATGTATAAATATAAAATTCAACAGTTAAATTAGCCAAATATATAAATCTTAAAAAAATATTAAAAGGTGAAAAATTAATTTAATTTTACATTAGTATAAGTGGATCCCTCCTCCTGTGTGTCTATATATATATTTAGGATTTGGATCGATGTTAGACTTCACCAAATCTTAGGGTGGGTTTTAAGGTCGGGCTAAAGGGTTATGGACCTATTCATGTGCCACTATGTTCAAGATTGACATTACATGAGTGGTGAGTTTGCGATCTTGGCTTCAAGATTGTCAATTCAGACCATGCTTGATGTGATTTGTTATTTTGCAATAATATTTCTATCTATTCATTGGATTCATTTATTATTGTATGCTAGTTTTTGCTCCTAATTCTCTAAAGTCTAAAGTGTGACGACTGTGAAGTAAAAGCAATGGCAAATGAGCGAAAATTTGTAACAATGCGAAAAAGAAGGAGAAGGAAAGAGAAATACTTTTGTTCCATCATTTCCTTGGTATAAGGTATTAGAGGTAGTATAGGTGGCGTTCAAATTCCATATTAGTGCCACGTATGAGATCGGAAGAAAAAAAAAAAAGTTAAACGAGATTGATTGGTGGGCAAGTCAAATGATTGGAGGGAACAAAAGAGATGAGAATATGCATGGGCATTAATCATTGTGGTAATACAGGCATGTTTGTTGTGCTGGGTGACACACTTGAACAATGCAAAAGGTTATCTTCGACTAAGGCCCATCAACTTTTCCCTCCACGTAATTATTACTCAATTTAAAAATAGTAGTCTTAAATGTTAATTACGAAAATTAAAAATAGCAGTATTAAAACGCACAGAAAAAGGGCACGCGGAGCAGTGAATTTTGGCAGACGAGTGCCACGTCCGGGGTCCCCGAGTCTGCGTGTCAGATTGGCGTGCTTTTTCCGAGCTTCACGTTAGGCTCAGTTCGTCACCGTCCTCAAGAGCGCGTGCCGTGGCTTGTTTAGTTGGAAACTTTTACTCAAGTAAATAAAATCATTGTGGTTAATTAGGGATGCCATTTTGGCAACCGGTCCCGCTCGGTTGTTTCCAAGAATTAATTATGGACTCTATCAATGTTTTGTTCGGTCCAAAGTAAGGATGTGGACCGGCCGGCAACCGTCAAACCTTTGATAGATTGATTGCTTTAAAGCCTTTCTATGAAAATTATGTTTGGTTTGTATTTGAGAAAAAATGTTGTTTCTATCTACTTATTTAAAATCACAATATTGGTTCATTTTTCATTCAATCATTTTAACGTATGAAAAGATTTCCAACTAAAAGTTAATTAAAAATCAATTACTGGGGTCAAATGAAATGGTTGGAGAACCTAAATGTCATGACCAAAAAACTATTAGATTTAAAATTGACTTATATTTTGATTTAACAAAATTTGATTTAAGTTTGATTACAAGCATTAGAAATTATTTGATGCATTATTTGATCCCTTAAGGTCTTAGAAAATGTTTAACAAGTCTTTTACACTTAAAAGAAATACAAAAGCTTTTAAATATTGAGTTTTCAGTTAAAGGAAAAAAAGCATACATTTTACTGATTTAGGATTGACTTTACATCTTTGAAGCTCCATCTGACATAGACAAAAGATAAAAAAGAAGAAAACCTTAGGGTTAAGGATAAAAAATACACCTTGAAACTTGATCCTAAGGTAGAAAGCAAGAAAAATGCAAAGGAAACTTGGGATCAACATTGAACAAGCAAAACTTGATCCTAGAAGGAAGAAAAGAAGACAAAGAACCCTTATAAGCTTCAAAGATTGACAATGAACAAACTAAACTCCATCCTAGAAGAAGAAAAGACCGAATGATGCAAGTCTTGGGAAGAGGATTGACTTACCCTTTAAAAACTCAATCCTCAAGCACAATTTCGAAGCAAAATTCTAATTAGGATCGACTTTACCTCTTTCATACTTGATCCTTAAAACACAGCAAGTGTGCACTTAATGCTCCCAATAATTATTTTTTTGTCCAGACTCATTTCTAGCAGCTTTAATTTCTTATGTGCGTATAAAAGAAAACTTTTCACTCATTTTTAAGTACGAAAAAACTCTGAAAATCATTCCAACATTTTGAGAAAAGCTAAAATTTCATTTACTCTACTATTACATCTCATTTAAGTCTTCCTTCAAAGCTATTTAGCGATTATCTTGAGCTAATATTTTGATATTTTAAGCCTAAACTCTTAATTTATCAACCTTTATGAGACATTTATTGCTATCCACTCTTTGTACAACCCTTGAAAAATTCTAACTTAACTTTGAAAAGTTATTTGTAAAGATTGTGTTTAATCATTTGAAAAGGTATTGTAAAGGTTGTGCTTGGTTCTTTCAAAAGACATTGTATGGGTCGTGCTTGAACTTGTAAACAAATATTATAAATGTTATGTTTGAGCCTTAAAAAGTATTTTTCATAATAGATTCAAATATTTTTTGTGAGTTAAGGGAGAAGATGTGAGTAAGACAGTCGAATGTTTATAAAAATTCTAGTATTTTGATTTACAATTTTCTGCACTTAGTTTATCAACATGGCTTTCCAAGAAAAACCAATTTTTAACTTAAGTTGGCCAAGAATTTTACAAAAAACCCAATTTAGCCTCTCTTGGTCTTATTCATTTTATGCTTACTACACTAACAAAAACATTTTATAATCAAATTTTAGTGGTGTCAACATTGAAAATTGAAATTATTAATTAATTTATTTATTCAGATGGAACTTGGTGCTAGAGGTAGCAAAATTTGATCAATTTCAGAAATCCATTGAGATCAAATCTAATTTGATGTCAATTGAATGAAAAAAAAAGTTACAATCTTATAATCGAAAGAATTTAAATCGCACACCACTTACTTGAAGAAACTCAAACTCGAATTAAATTAAATGCTCTATAACCTTAAATTTGTGACTAATCAGATCTGAAACTTATAAAAATCTGAATTTATAACTCAAAAGATCGAAAATGTAATTAAATTATTTTTCTAAAATGAGTTTATTAAAAATTTCAAAAATATTTTAAAAATAATATTATTTATAACTATCATATAATTATATAAATAATGTATTTTGGACATTTTCAATATGGAATATTTGATTTTAAACTTTAATTAATGTTATAAAAATTACTTGATCAATTAAATTTATTATGTTATTCTCCGTTAATGTCAAAATGCAAAATTATTTAATTTTAATACCCTCCAAATCTCAAAATACTCGTAATTTACTAAAAAAAAAAGGATAAATATCTTAACTAATTACTTGTATTAAAAAATTTTATATTAAATACATTAATTTCGACAAGAAAAGAAAAATTGTAAATTAAATGTAATTTTACTAGTTACTAATTTGGTTGTGAATAAATTATTAAAAAAAATGCTATTCTTACATAAAAACATCAAATAAAATTGTAACCTAGATGCTCTTACAAATCAGAATGCTATTAACTTATCATCGATTAAACATTTGTTTTTTATTTTTGAAAAAATAAATACAAAGATTAACACGAGACATTCTTCCATGTACCTAGTGATTAGATTTTACAATTGAAAATTTTGTGACATTTCGAAACCTATGTCATCCTATATGCTTAAACTGAAAACATGTAATGAAACCATACTCATACGACCCATTTCATTCCATTGGTTCTTGTTTTTTTTTTTTTAAATTTTAAAATTTAATATTTTTTATAAATTGATGTATAATACTTTTTAATATAAAAAAGTAAAAGGAAATTTCAAGTAAATCATTGATAATATAAAATAATAAAAGTATTAAATTAAATGTGTACTATTCTTAAAGGTGAGATAATGGGAGAGCAATTGATAAATTAGGAATGGGATAGGGTGATGGAAAGAATTAGGTGGTTGAGCAAACTGTTTGGTACGCGCCAAAACAGTCGCGCGTGTGGACTGGGGACTAACAGCGCCAACCCCCATGGTAAGTTACACACACATCACGACGTCCTGTTCTAGCCATTTCCCCATTTTTATTTTCCCCTTTGGTTTTTTGAAATTTAAACCCCTAAAAAAGAATTTTTTGTAAAACCCTCCTTTGCTGACTGCCGAGCCGTTCTCTTTCTTTCTTTTTCACTCTCTCTCTGCTTTCTCTACTCTGCTTTTGCAATTAATGAAGGCACCCACACCTCCTACGCTTACTCCTAGTAATTATTATCACCTCTCTTCTCACTCTCGGGTCTGGTCCCCTGCTTCTGCTTCTTCCAAAGAACGAGAAATTTTGCCAAAAAAAAGAACGGAGGTACTGCCTTTCCTTTTGGCTCTTGTCTCTGCTAATTCATAACCTTATATACTTCTCATTCACTTATTTCTTCTGTCAACATCTTTTTTCTTTCTGGGGTTTTCTATTTTGCACCGTTTATTTTAGCTTAAACTAAAACATTAACCATGCATCAAAGCTTCTAGCTTGTTATAAGCTGGGAAGATCCTTTTTCCTTCCGTTCTGAAAACTTGGGGAAAAGCAAAGCAAAGAAAAAAGAAAGGGTTCCTTTGCTTTTTTTTTTTTTAATTTCTAAGAGTGGAAGTTTCAACTTTCAGCTCTGCTTTAATTCTACATTGTTCCTTTTTTTGTAAAAAAAAAATTTATCTTCTTTTTGAGTTAACATAACAGTGAATTTGATTTTTCGATTCTGTTATTTATGTCTACTTTGATCTCCATTGTTCTATTTTTTGTGTTCTCTTGATTCTGTTATTGACAAAATCATTCCTTTGTTTCGTCTTTTTCTACTTTTTCCGTTTTTGCTTTATCTCCGCCTTTTGGTTTTCCCTCGATTCGGTACTCAAACTTTGAACAATTTCCCTTTCCTCTATCTCTCTCTCTCAAAATTTTATGCTCTGTTTGGTCCTCAGAAGACTAAAATTAGCTTCTTCCTTTTTCCTTTAGTTTTCAACTTTATCTTCCTTTGTTTTCTCCTAATTGACAATCTTTACTTAAAACTTTATTAGGCTTAGATTTTTTTTGGACCCATTTAAGTAAAATTTCAAATAATGTAATATTGGTTCCTAAATGTGTAATTTCGATTCCTTTTACACGTTTTCTCAGCTAGCCCTTACTCTTTGTTTTGATCTTTCTTTTGAGTTCTATTTGTGAACAGAGAAGGTAAAGCTTTAAGCATGATCTTTAATATTTCAAGGCCTTTAATTTTGTCTTCTCTTCAATCTCTCACTCCCTTAGCATTGCTAGTCGTAATTTCCAAGCATACATGTGCCACAGATGAAAAAAGAAAGAAAGAAAGACTTTGTATCTTATAAGTGAGAGGTTTACTTGTTGTTTGTTAAGTATGATCTTGTTAGATTTACTTTTATCTTTCTATCTTGTTTTGATAATACAGATGGGTTTTCTTTGTGATCGAATGTGCTGCTAGGGATAAAAATCCATGGGTTGCTTTAATTGTTTACAAAACAAGACATGTTTCTTGTTTTGTGGTTTTTTTCTTGGTTCCTGCTCCCTGTTTTGCTGATTTTCTGTCTTTACCGCCTTTCCTTTTTCTATAAGTAGTTTGTGGATTTCGTTACATAAAAGTCTAACCATCTGAATTGTATCAATGTGAATATTTATCAATGACAAACTATTAGGACAGACTTTTAAGTATATTCTATTCTGATGTCTCACGGAAGATTTTTATATGCATTTTATTCAATTTTATTGATTATTTTGTATGCAGCCATTTCCGGAACTGTAGAATAAACAAATCAATTAACTAATGACTTCTTGTTTTGTTCAGCTGGTTTTGTTATCGATCTACGGAACCCTCAGTGGATTATATTTGACCAAGTTTTGTACATTGAGGTGGAAAGTGGCCTGCGGTCTGATGTGTGGGAATCTTTGGTGTGATAGTATTTGGCTTGGTTGACCATTCCTGCAACTGCATATAATTTCACGTGAGATCTGTTCTGGCTCAAGGAGGACCTTGTGCTTTTAACTTCATCAGATGTCTTCTTTGTGGAGCTGAGGAAATGGGGTGTTGTGTCTCGACTAGTAGTCGGAGTACTTGCAGTACCAGGAGCCATGGGGGGGCAGTTTCTCCTTCGTGTTTTGAAGTTGGATTTTGTGGGCAGAAGAGAACTAAGAGAACATTCTCAGATCATGTTATCGCATTGCAGCATTTACCCTCAGTACCCAACAGGATTTTCACAAATGGAAAGAGCAGAACTTCTTGCATATTTACTCAGCAGGGTCGTAAGGGAATAAACCAGGATGCCATGATTGTATGGGAAGTAAGTTTTAGATGTTACTTTGACTTTGGGATCCTTCAATTTTGAGATTCTTTTATATTTTGAGGTTAACTGCTTAATGACATTGATAAATTTAAAAATCCTGTAGGATTTTATGTCAGAAGATGTGACCTTTTGTGGTGTTTTTGATGGCCATGGTCCACATGGCCATCTCGTTGCTCGGAAAGTTAGAGATGCCCTGCCCCTTAAGTTGCTGTCCTCCATGCATTCTTATCAGTCAAGGCAAAATGGGTCAGGGAGAACATGTTTCAAGGGAAATTCAAAGAAATCGGATGGTGGAGATTCTGAGAAGGATGGTTCTGCTGAGGATAGATTAAATTCTATATGGAGGGAAGCATTCATGAAATCATACAAGGCCATGGATAAGGAGTTGAGGTCCCATCCTAATTTGGACTGCTTCTGTAGTGGTAGCACTGCTGTCACTATTGTGAAACAGGTATGACAGAAGCACTGCTTGCTGCTAGTCAACTTAAATTTTTCTAGCTTTGGTCTAATTCATGTAGGTTGATTTTATGATGTTAGGGCTCCAATCTTTTCATGGGATATATTGGGGATTCTCGAGCAATTATGGGATCCAAGGACAGCAATGATTCAATGGTGGCAATCCAATTAACAGTTGATCTGAAGCCCGATTTACCAAGTACATCTCGGACTAATCTTTTCCTTGTGGATGTACTTGAAAATGGATGTAATGTACTAAATGTTATATATGAATTCTCCAGGGGAAGCGGAAAGGATTAAAAGGTGCAAAGGTAGGGTCTTTGCTTTGCAAGATGAACCTGAAGTACCTAGAGTATGGTTGCCATTTGATGATGCCCCTGGGCTAGCAATGGCTCGAGCTTTCGGCGATTTTTGTTTGAAGGAATATGGTGTTATCTCTATACCTGAATTTTCCCACCGGATCCTTACAGAGAGAGATCAATTTATTGTTCTCGCCTCAGATGGGGTAATTTTGTCATCTCTTAACTGATTTTTCATTCATTCTTTATTTGTGAACTTTGTTTCCACATTTCTTTGGTTTATTCAAGGTTGAGCGGAACCTTTTCTGGTGCATGTTAGATACTATTATTAAGTGATAATAAGGGGAAGCTCAAATGCAGCAATAAGTTGCAAACAGAGTAGAAGAGTAGACTACCGAAAGAATCACCAATTTAGACAACAATGAGTACACACATTAAACAGTGTAATGATATATCACTGTCTAGTGCAGAGGAATTCTGAAGCAACTTGGGCTATAGTTACCTGACAGACATTATTACAACAAAAATTTTGTAAATTCTGCTAGACAGTAAAACAATAGAGTGAAAAATCAACACAAAACTTGTACCATCCACAGGCAACCATTGCAAGGAAGAGCTCTGGTAAAATCTGCCCAAAGTAGCAAATCAGTTTTTTATTTAGTTGCTTGGTCTACGGCTCGTAGCGATTATTCAGTAGGGCCTCTTCTTTTATAAGGAGAAGGAAGAATATGTTGGTGGGGTTTCTTTTTGATGGAAGTTTTGGATGTTTCTAGATAGGGTGACAGTTGGTGGCTAATTGCTGATTGGGCTTTCGAATAGGACAATCTTTTAACCTGCACCTTCAATTCAACTATGCCTTAAGGCCAAAGGAGGGCCATGATGTAAAAATTGAATGTTGTTGAGGAGATATAAAAAGAGGAAACAGTAGGAGTAATAAGAACTTTGTTATGATTCATCAAAAAAATAAAAGATAAAAAAAACTGTTCGTCATTAGTACTTTTAACTTGAAACTGTCAATGGAGTAGGAAGGGATGGAATAGAACTGACGAAGAGGTCCACTTAAGGGGTAAAGGCTTATGTTGTCATCCTTGCATGGTGCCTATTAGGTTTAAAGCTGTACCCTTGTAGATGTATGACACCTGATACGTGGTTTATTGGAAGTGCTCCTGCACTTCAGGGCTCACTGCAATGAGTGACATCCACATTAAGAGTGAGAGTCAGTGGTTGGTAATGACCCATATCACAGGTTAATCTTTTTTTTTTTTTCATTTTTAATTCTCCCAGTTTTTATGCGAAACATGTCAACATTGTCTGGAAGATCAATTCTGTTTGTTACCTTTACTGTCAGTTGATTTTTCTATAAAATGTCTGATGATCTGCTGTAATGATATGTGATCAGTCACAGTTTGGTTAATATGTAATTACTTTAAATGTGCTAGAAAAGGTTTATCTGAAAAGGGATTCCTTATTTGGTAAGAGAGCTAAAGTCAAGTGCTAAGTGCCAAGTGCCAACACATTTGAAAACAGAGGAAATAAAAAAAGAACATTAATGTGCTATTGAAGATGAAGATTTATTAACCTTTATTTTGATGGGCTGAATCCTTCAAGAAATGAAGGCCTGCCATGATATGGCAAAAAAAAAAAATGGTTAATTTGATTTTTCTCCTTAATGTTTATATTTTTATTACAGGTTTGGGATGTATTGAGCAATGAAGAGGTGGTTGAGATTGTATCTTCAGCTCCTACCCGGTCATCAGCTGCCAGGATCTTGGTCGACTCAGCTGCACGGGAATGGAAACTAAAATACCCTACTTCAAAGATGGATGATTGTGCAGTTGTTTGCTTATTTTTGGATGGGAAAATGGACTCAGAATCTGATTATGAGGAACAGGGCTTTTCTTCTGCAACCCTTCACAGTAATCATTCTGGTAATGCAGTTGAATCTGATGATGGCCAGAAGTCGGAGCCATCTTTGCAGAGGAATTTTACTGTTAGATCATCAGAAGAAAGTGATAGTTATGGAAGATTGCTGCCAGAGTTTGAAGGAAATGCGGATACAGTTGCTGCTGAAGATCAAAATTGGTTAGGTTTGGAAGGTGTCACACGAGTGAACTCACTCGTTCAACTCCCAAGATTTTCTGAGGAAAGGCCAAACCCATAAATTTTGTATTCTCTATAAACGAAACTAGACTGGTTTTGTCGTAACATTTCGGCTTTTGAGCCTGCACTAGATCCAAGGAAAAGAAAGTCCTTGTGAATTGGAGGCTATGTATTCATGTTGTTCAAGTAAGTCATTGACACCAGCAATTTGCTCTGTTGTATTGCACAGAGGATTGTAGGAGAAAAAGGCTTTATTGATGTGATTGCACTTGATCGCTACACTTGTGTTAATATGATTCCACTCCCTGTAAATATCCAACTTCTGGCTGCCTTCAGTCATTATGCACAATTAACTAAAGTGAAAAAAGCACTAGAACCCTTAGTTAAAGCCAGAAAGAAAGCTAAACTGGATACAGTCTGAATGTGGATTTCACTCTCAGCGTAGATAATGAAAGAAAAAGGCTCTATAAATGATTCTTCAGCATTTCAAAATTTCGTCACAGCACCACTGAGCAAGATGAGGTGCACTAGTTTGAATAATCAACTGTTGAGGACTGGGAAATTAAAGAAATTTCAAACCAAAGGGTACTCGTAGAGCATATGCAGATGAATACAAGATAGAATTACCCGGTCATTTAACTATCTGCTCGTGTACACAAGCCTGACCAATTTTAGCTGTAGTCCTCTAATTTCGACAGTGTGTCAATAAATTTAATGCCTGCATTTGACCGACTCAAATAGAATTGGAGGTTCAGCAAGTTCCACCAAAATTTTTGCAGAAGCATACCGAACTGTGAGGGGAAAAGGCAAAACTCATGAGCGTGTTTAACGTTATGGAAAGTTGCAACTGTTAAACAGTGTGAAAATTCAATTTCCTCTGCTGACCTTGTCGGCAGAACTGTTTGAAGCAATGTATACCAAACCAGGTTGTGCTCAGTTGAGTCTTTTTCATTGAATTAGTGATAAATGTTCGAATTTTTCAAATAATAAAGTGTTAATTTAAATTATTTAATTTTTTTTATTAAAGTCAGACTAAATTTATTTGGTCTTCACAAAGTGACAAATTATAATTCATAATATGATCTAATAAAGTCTAAACCTATGTAAGAAATTTTAAATTTTATAATAATGGATAAGATTAAAGAATCACTATATATATATATATATATATATAAGTTAAAGTCTTTTCTCCTATCTACACAAAATCATTAAGATTCTTATTTATTGGAGAGTTAATAAATCAAAAAGGAAAAAGATCCTAATACACAAAATCTCAACCGTTAATATGATTCATATTGTTTTTACTGTCAAATCATATATCAAGAATTAAGTATATTTTTATGTTTTAAATTCTTATTATGGTAGATTTTGAATTAATATACATTAATTATGTATAAAGTTAACAATCGGTATCAAAGCCACCATGATTATAATTTTGAAACTTAAGAATTATTTATTGATTTCATAAATCAGAAGTTCATATTAAGGTTTTGTGTGATTTTGAATTTATGTAATTACACCATAAAAATTCATAATTTCCTTATGATTAGTGCATTTAAATATTTGGCATGCTTAATTGATGATATAATATAATTCATATGGTTGTTAGATCAAATTATATCCAGGTAATTGAATAAAATCATGATTGCGAAATTAGATTTTTCAAAAGCCGTGAGTTTTAATAATTTTAAGTTAAGATCAATTTGATTTATGTAATTTTTGTTAAATTACCTTGAGATTATTTGTTTTTGATGAGTTAAAATTATTATTGAGGCCATAAAACTTTATTAAACTCATCGATTTAATCAAATTAAATTCTGTCAATTTTAGATATTCTACCCACGAGAATAGATCTTTGGGTTTGATTTGAATTTGTCCAGAACATACCTAAATTGATGAGTTTTAATTTGAGTTAACCTAGGGTTTTCGTTCCTCTTAATACAAATGTTAAGTCAATACCATGGTTTGGCTTGTTGAGAGGAAAATTAAAGTTTAAAGTTCGAGTTTAAACTTTGAACTCAATTAATAAATGACATAATATTCAAATAAGCTCTTAAATTATGTAAGAAAATTTAAATAAGTTTTTACTTTTTTATTGCATTCACTAAAGCCTTACATTTTTATTTTGAGTTATATAAGCCCTTATGACTAATAATTGAAATGTCACTTGTTATTTTATATAATCATAGCAATGACATAGCATTGATTTAGAGAGTAAAAAATACCATGTGATCATGTTATTATGTCAAATTAATATGTTACGTCATTATTAATTATGATATATTAGCATGTCATATCGTTATAAATTATGATATGTTAGTATGTCACATTAGTGCTATATGATATAGAATGACAAATAATATTTAACTAAGTCAATAATTAGTTATATGACTCAGAATAAAAGTATAAGGGTTTATCTGATAGAAAATAAAAATAAAAAAAAAAAAATTTAATTGAATGCAATAAAAGTATAAGGGTTTATTTGAATTTTTCTGAATAGTTTATATTTATATGCTTTTTTTATAAATTATGCATTAATAAATTGATTAAAACCTTAATGTTATATGTGTTTTCATTTGAATTTATCTTTATAAATAAGTTTTTGTATGCTATAGAGATGAAATATAAGATTTGATTGCATAAAATATATATGACTAAATATTAAGATAATTGAAAATGAGTCAAGCATGGTTTTCAAACCTGAAATTTTGGACAATTAATCTTGATATATGTTGTTTTGATGAAGTTTAATACACGGGTTTCATAAAAATAAAGTATTAATTGAGGTTTCGAAGGGTCTAATTGGGTTAAAACCTAAAAGCGATTAAAAACGGGGAATTAGGGAGAAAATTAGAAGTAGTCCGCGAATGGGTCAGTTTTTGCTCCAACGATCATGTGGACAGCAAGGCCCACGCATTGGAAGTGGTCTGTGAAACCCACTTGGGCAATGTTTTTTCGATTTCTTTTTGCAAATTTCTTCGACTCTCCTTATGCAATCTATTTGTGTTATTTTTCTAATTTTTAGTGCAAATTCAATATTTATTTTTATGTATATTCAATTAATTATTCTAGATATTTGGATGAGATACTTGTTAGATGCATATAACAGAAAAATGATTTGCATATATTTTAGGGTTAATGGTAGTATGTACTTTAACTAGATATGTGTATATTTTATATACTCTTACGATAAAGTTATAGAGTACAAATTGATAACTAAAACTTTATAAAGTGATATTTTTCAATTTTTCAATACAACCAGTTTATCTAGTGACATGAATGAAGGTATAATGATTGAAAATCTCATAATGTTATGTCACATATGTAGGTTATCTCATAATGTTATGTCACATATGTAGGTATGTAATTTTAGAATATAATATCCCACACTCATTAAGTTAATAATAAAATAAATAAAGTCATACCATGGTTTTTGTATAGGTAATAGTAATAACTTATTAAAGGAGAAGTTTTATTTAAGCTAGTTGATTTGTAGAAACTAAAGCGACCAATTAACTAATGTTCTGAAATTATCATTCTCATACGTTTAAGGGATGCCTTTGGTGTTATTGCAATAAGCTCAATGTAAAGACTTTCAAGAGAGAGGTGAAAAGGAGTATTTAGGAATTTCATTTTAAATTTAAGAAAAATAAAAATTTCTTAAACTAAGTTTCTTTTTGGAATTAAGCAAATCAATAGAATTTTTGAGAAGAGAAAGAAGTTAATAACACAAATGAATTTGTGAAGAATAAAAGAGAAAACAACGCAAGAATTTTTATAGAGGTTTAGCCTCTTTGCCTACGTCTTCACCTTTAGATTCACTAAGGAATTTTAAAATCCATTATTGAAATCAAATTCAATACAATGCCTTTTATGGATCAAGCACAACCTTACAATGCAATGCCTTTTATGGATCAAGCATAATCACTCTACCTTTTACTTTGGTTAAGGTATAACCACTAAAATACTACCTTTTTAATTAGTTAAGGTATAACCACTCAAGAGAATACAATAAATGAGACGAGAATAGCTAGAATGCCTCTTAAAAGGTGAGTAGCAAATTAAGTACAATATTTGGTGAGGAAGCAAATAGGAACTAAAAGCTAAATAAATGATTTGTTAAATCAAAACTTAGAATCAAATGAAGCATTAAATCTTACATCTGGTTCTGGTGTACGTGTATTCACCTAAAAGTGATGTGTTCATATCAAAATTAGAAGGTAGCATATAAAAGCATGTGTGTGGAAATCGCCTTGCTGTAGTAGTTTATTTTCTTATGGTAAGTTACAAAGGTTATATTATTTTCTCATGATTGTATTTATGTGAAAAAGTTCTTAATTATATGTTTTGCATTCAACCTCAAGGTGTTTAGATGACGTGCCTAGACCTTTTGATTATACTCATATATGTTTTTGGAGTATTTTGATTACCTTATTTATTCTAATTAAGTTGTATTGTTTAAATTTTCAATCATCTTTTTTGTCAATAACAATATAGCCACCATTAAATTTTGATTGAGTTAAACTTTAAGAATTGGAAATGAGATATGGAGTTTGTCATTCAAATAATAGACATAAATCTAGCTATGAATGTAGATAACCTTGCCGAACATATTGTTGAAATTATGAGAATGATAAGGGAAGCTTTTGAGCGCGAGAGAAATCCAATAAATTCTGTTTGCTTGTTATTAAGAGGTCAATTCCTGTACATATGTTAAGTGGATTTCTTGATACTACTAAAATAATATAGTTCTTAATTGTAGTAGCACAAAGATATAGTGCGTTATTAAGTGTTGAAATTGGCACTTTTCTTAAAGGATTTTATTCCATGAGTTATGATGGGATAGAAAAAGTTAGGAAGTACATAATTAAAATGATCCACTAAATCTACTGCTCCTAAATAATTCAGAGTTAAAAGAAAGAATCTGGTTAATTTGTTAATGTAGGGGATCTTAAAGTTGTCATTAATACGGAACCAAAATGTTTCGTTTATAAGAAAAGGGGACATAAGAAACAAAATTATCTCAAATATAAGACTTGGTTACATAAGCGTGAATGTAAAGAGATTCATAAGTAAGAGGAAACCAAATAAGGATGAGTCTAGAGTTACGATTGGAAACAAAGCAACGGAGGAAGTCAAGTTTGTATAAACAGTTTTTTAAATTTAATTCTATTTTCTTTATTAGACACTACTAGTTAAATTTTGAAATAAAGGATATTAAGATAATTAATGATTTAAAAGATATTGACTTGTGTTTTTTGACTCGTGGTTTATATAGACTGTGTTTAACTCCTACTGATATTTATTCCATCTCATATTATGTTGACAGAGTTGCAACATCACCTACATAAAGGAAACATTTTTCATGTTATAGCATGAAAAACTTGGCTACATCTTCAAGAAAAATGTAGAAAGGTTGATAAATGATAACATTTTACCTACTTTTTTTTCTAATAACCTAGAGACACGTGTTGACTATTGTAGAGGTAAGATGACCAAGATATATAAAAGGGAAAAGACCAAATAAAAGTTCAGATTTATTAGAACTTGGTTACACTTATATAAGTGAACCATATTACCCATACTATATGCAATTGTAGATATTTTGTGACATTTATTGATGATTTTCTTGTTATGCTTATATGTCCATAATAAAAAAAGGTTGAAACTTTTAATAAATTTAAGATCTTTAAGACTAAAGTTGAGATACAATATAGAAAAACCATTAAGATTGTCAAGTTTGCTAAAAGGGGTGACTATTGTGGGAGACATGACAATAGGATGGCAAAAAGATTCATTTGCCAAATATTTATAAAATTGTGAATAATGACTTAATACACTATGCTTGGTAATCTTGAACATATGTGGCTGAAAGGAGAAATCACACCCTAAAGGATATAATAAAGAATATTATGGGTGAAGTAAATTTATTAGAATTTTTCCCAGGAGAAACAACCAAAACAGATTTGTATATCTTAAATGTGAGGTCTTCGGATATTAAAATGTTGTAGAATAGGTGCCCCAAAGAAGATTTACAAGGATAAGGAAACCTACTTTTTCCTTAGAGATCTATGAATTCTATCTTGGAGTGGGTGATTGTGATATTGGTCTTGTAGCTGATCTAAAACCTTTTTAAAAGTTGTTTCCAAACCTAAATTAGATTTATGGTGAGATGCAATGAAAAATAAGATGTGATCTATGTTGTTTGAGAGCTTGTTAAGCTAAATAAATGTTGCAAATTCATTGGTTGTAAATGAGTGTATAGGATCAAGAAAGATTCCAATGGGAAGATTGGAAGGTTTAAAGCTAGACTGGTTGCTAAAAGGTTTACTTAGAAACAAGATATTAATTACAATGAAACCTTTTCTATTGTATCGTCAAAGGTATTGTTTAAAGTAATTATGGCATTAGTAGCTCATTATAATTTAGAACTACACTAGATGGATTTTAAGACTACATTTTTAATGGAAATCTTGTTAAAAAGGTCTATACGTTGCAACTTGAGGGATTTAAAGAGAATGGTAAAGATCATCTTGTGTGGAGACTCAAAAGTCTGTTTATGGGTTTAAACAAACATGTTGCCAGTGGTATCTTAAATTTGATAAAGTAATCACATCTTTTGATAAAGATAGACTAATACATATATCTCAAGATCAAGAGGAGCAAGTTTATCTTTCTTATTTTGTATGTTGATGATATCTTGCTTACCGGTTGTGTCTAAGCAGTTTAACTTGAAAGATCTTAGGGAAACATCCTATATCTTTAAGATTGAAATCCATAAAGATATATCATGTGACTTGTCAAACTCTCTCAGCATATATATATATATATTGATCGAGTGTTGAGTATATATTTTTTTTACTTACTTGCAAAGGTGAAGATGTGCCAATTATTTAAGGTGATAAATTGAACTTGACACAATGTCTTAAAACGATGTTGAGAGAAAATCTATGAAAGTAATGCCATATGCTCAGATGTCCTTGATGCTTGACATTGCTTATGCAATGCGTCTTTTGAGAAGATATTTATTTAATCTTGATAAAAATCATTAGAAAGCAGTAAAGAAAGTGAAGAGATATTTGAAGCGGACTAAAGATTATATGCTAGTTTATTAAAAGGTTGAAAATCTTAAGTTGGTGGGTTATATGGATTCTGACTTTGCCAATTGTTTAAATGATGGGAAGTCCACATTGTGATACTTTTTTATGTTGGGAGGTGATGTAGTATCTTGGAAAAGTATAAAGCAAAACTTGTAACCTCATCCATTATGCAAGCAAAATTTGTAACATGTTATGGAGTAACTACGCAAGTTATCTAGTTGATGAATCTCATTAAAGAATTATTGGTGGTTATCTCTATTGCTAGATCCATATAATTGTATTATGATAACACTATCATGATTTTGTTCACTGACGGCAATAAAGGTATCACAAGGGCTACACAGATAAAGATAAAATATTTGACATAAAAAAACTTGTGAAAGAGGGTGACATTTTAGTAAAGTATATTAGAATTGATGATGTGACAGTTGATCCTTTAACCAAAGGATTGCGTCCTATCAATTTCATAAACCATATTTTGACATGGGTATTATGAAGTCTTTTGATGTACTTAGTTAATGAGAGGATTTGACATTATTTCATGTTTGGTTCATAATTTGTTTGGAACTGCATCCTTGATGATGTATGTATAGTTATTATGAATAATGTTTATTCAATGATAATAAGTCATAAAGTGGTTATGTATATATACATTCATGTGAAGATGTAAGACATGTATCAATCTTAAACATAGATTGGGGTATAAATTGATAGCTTTGAGGGTATGTCTTGTACACATAAAGTCTATCTCAAGATATGTAAGGTAGACAAACAGGTTTATTATATAAGCTATAAAGTATTTTTCTTGCAAGCTTGGGTTGTATAAAGTGGCGAGCAAAGTGACTCACAAACGAATCCACATTAACTTCATGTCGATGAGACTGGATGGTATAAGTAATTATAATTGGTGTTGTATCTTTGATAGATATAGTTATTGATATTTTCCTACATCACGATTTTTATTGGACAAAAACATGTTCTAGAGTAAGTCTCAAGACTAGTTTGTTTTTAAATTGAGCTCATAAAGTTTCTAGTTGTCTTAACTTGTGAATCATTTTTACAAAAATGTGTTTTCAAACTTTGAATTTAAGTAATGTCATCCAAGGGGAAGATTATTAGATTTTGCTCAAATAATAAAGTGTGGATTTATATTATTTAATTTATTTTTTCTTTTTTTTATGCAAAATAGCTAAACTTATTTGATCTTGATAAAGTGACAATATTATAGTTCATAATATGATTTAATAAAGTGAGCTAGACTTTAGTATTAAATGTGGGTTTAAGAGTGTCGGCTTGTGTAGGAAATCTTAAATCTAACTATGGATAGGACTAAGGATTCACTATTTAATGTAAAGATTAAGTCTCCTCTCCTATTAATAAAAAAACATTAAGATTGTTACCCATTAGGGAGTTAGTAGATCAAAGGGGAGGAAGATCTTAGTGTATTGAATTCCAAGGCCAACCGTTAATTTAGTTAGTATTATTTTTATTGTCAAGTCATGTATCGAGAATTAAGTGTACTTTTGCATTCTAAGAATAGATGATAGATTAGTATAAATTATATATAAAGTTAACAATGATAAAATCACGAAAATGTATACTTCAAAAAAAAAATCACGAAAATGTAAGTTAAATATATCCGGTAAATCAATAGAGAATGTTCTTCTCTCCAAGACTTTTACACGCATTGAATATACTCATAAGAGCAGAATGGAATATGGATCAGTTACTTGGTTTTTGGTATTATATATATCCTTTATTGCCTCCGTTTTAGTTGGTGGCATTTAGAATTATAGCAGCTTTTTCTAACATTGTGGTAATATTAATGCATGTCACCATACAAGTACGTTAAGGACAAACTTCAATTCGAGAAAGCCAAGTTTTGAAGTTCTCAAGAATGATCGTGGTTCGTGGAGGCAGAGGGTCTGTATTCAATCTGACAAGTGCAGATTCACTTCAATTGCCGGCAAATCTGTTGGTGATAGAAATGAAAATAATAAAAACAAATAACAAGTTAATGAAGTAGACGAACCAAAAGTACAAGCAAAGCGCAAACCGAGCTCGAACTCTTCAGCTTTTGTCAGCTACTGAAGGAACAGACCATGTTTAGGAAAAAGCTTAACTGGCAACAGTCTTTAAGATAAAAATCTCATAACTCACAGCGAAAATTCACCCAAACCAACCGGTAACCTTCTTTAATTACAAGCTAGCTTTTGTTTTTGCAACTTCTCCTTCAATGGTATTTTCACTCTTTTAACTCGCCGCCAAATGATCAACCAACTTACTTTAAGCCTCACCCTATAAGAAACGTTATTCTCTGCCCTCTTTCCACCATCCCAAAACCAATCCTATCTCTTCACTCTCAACTCTCTATCGTTCTCTGATAATGGCTTACAAAACTACTTCCTTGCTCCTTGCTCGAGTTTTCCTCATCAGTACTCTGCTCGCTATTGCTGGGCAAGCAGTTGCAAAACAAGACATCCCAAGAAATCCAGAGAATGATGATCAAATGAAACAGCCTGAGTGGGCGCTTGAACATGACCACGGCGTGCTCATTCCAGGCATTGGACGAGTGATGCTGCCGCCAGTTTTGAAACCTTACAATCCCTACACCGGCAGCATTGGCGGCAGCACTGGTGGAACCGGCCATATTCCAGGTGGTGACGACACTTTTGTCCCAAACCCTGGTTTCGAAGTGCCAATTCCTGGTGATGGTGCTGGCGGTGCAGGAACGCATCCCCGTCCTTGAGCTCGGCTGTGAAGTTTCAATCAGTTAGAGAATAAAGGCAGGCAACCATCAGCAATCTTAGTTGGAGTCTTAGGGCCCCCTTGTATTCAGCCCAGTCCAGTCCAGTCGATCCGACCCACGTATTTAACGTGATATTAGTTCAGCTTGTCATTTTAGTGGAGCCCTTGAGTATGTTTGTTGACAAAACGAAGCCTGCTAGATGTTAAGTGTTTCTGTTTTAGTTTTTCATTTAAATCGAGTCTAGAGTCTTTTGTGCATTTTTCACTAGGAAATCTATTTTGTTGCCAAGTAATCGTGTATTTCAATTTCCAAATTAATTATGGTCTATACGAATTACCCGACTGTCTTATTTAAGTATTTTATTTGAGATCCTAGATTGCTCCTAGCTTGCAGGCTTAAAACATAAATAGATTTGGTCATTTGAAATGCCAAGGATCCTTAAGAGTATTTAAACTTGACCATTCAATATCACTTGCCAGCAGCAATGTGCTCATAGTTCATTAACTGCAACGAGAAAAAAATTCATAGCCCTAAAACATTCTTTTCCATGTCAACAAGTCGGGGCCAATGTCAGTAAGGGAAAATGAAGCAAAGTCATCTCAAAACAGACAGCTGATATAGCATGCAAAGCAGCTAATCACTGGCATGAAGAAAAATACAGTCCCGCATAAAGCAGAGTAGTCATTTGGTTCCTTTCAACTGTTATATTATCTGATAAAATTGTTTGCTTCTTATAAAAGTAAATAATTTGCCTCAAACTTTCACATCAAATAAGTTGTTGGAAAGAGTACTTAGCTGCATCATCAACAAAGCTAACAACTACTCCCACATGTAGAAATCTTCTATAAGAACCAAAATGATTGTGCATTTGATCATAGAACCACCGTTGATGCATCAGCGATGCTGATCTATAATTCCATTAAAACAAATTGTAACCCTTCTTCAATATATATAATAATTGAATGAAAATTGGGCTTTTTTGAAACAATTGAATCTAACTTATCCCCAGGACAACTGACTATTAGATGACATACAGCATTCCCCTGAGACAGAAAGAGTGCAAAAAATATGATAATTATGTAAAGAGAAAGAATAAACAGCTAATAAAGACAATCTTCTACTTATAATTTCGTTTCCAATATGTCATTACTGGCGCAATTTTCAGGCAAAAATTGCTGAAAGAATAATTTGTCATTGTTCTGACTCAAATCAAAATGCCACAACTTGTACATATATATATATATCTCAAGAAATATAACATAATACCATTGATTCAGAATATTCAAAGGATAATCTCTGAACCAACCAAGGTCTCAGCTTTGGAACTTAATCTGACCTGTAAAAAATTATCCTGAATAAAAGAGTAAAAGAGTTGCAGTTAATTAAATGGACAGGGAGTGATCATGAAAAATTATGAAAACAAATATGTTTTTCATTTGAAATGGCGAAATGGGTATTTCATAAAAGAAAGAAATCAATGAAAGGAAGAGTGAAGCGACCTGAAAGAGAATCAGAAGAGATTAAGCATCCTGAAGAGAATGAAAGTTAGGAAACCGAAGAAGATGAAGAGGAACAGGTAGTCAACCATTACGAACAACTTGGTTGATCCATGATTTCTCTTCTGCTTCGCCTTTGATTCATCTAATGCTTCAAGTTGCGCCATCCTACCAACGGATCTAGGTATTTCACTCGGAACCAAATTTTGGGGATCTGGACTTTGGGCTTCGCATTTATATTTGTTTTAATAAATAATTGTATTTGCCGTTACACTAGTTTCCGGCTTCCTCCCGCGCGTTTTGCTATCTGCAAAGGCAAGTGCCTTGCACGTGAAAAGCTTTAACACTCAGAAATGTGTCGCACTTTGGTTTATCTCCTTTTTTTTTCCCGCAAAATATAAACAGCAATCAACCAATTCTGCCTTTCATTTTCCTTTAATGCTGATACTGAGACCAGAACATGCAATATTGACTTGGTCTTTTGGTTAATTGACATGGATTGTTAACTAGAATGTGAAACTTGTGTTTATGGAATTGCTTTTACCATGGACATAGGCAGGAAAATGAAGCATAGATTAGGGATTTATATGATGCCCAAATTCAAAGATACAGAAACCAAATGTAGAGTATTGTACAAATATAATTTTTTAACAATTAATTGACCCTAACATCATTTTGAATGCCAGTCGAATACAAGAATAGCTCAACAATCTTAGTAAACTTTCCCTGATACAACATATCTTGCTATGCCCATTCATAACCCCCCTAGCACAAAACCTGAACGACTAATGTGTAAAGGTTAAGAATTATATGCTGTTGTATATCGCCAAATTCCTCCACTAGGCAACTTTTTTCATTCTGATCACTCTTTCACCAAAAGGAGTCCCAAGCAATCATTCTTTGGCTTTGACTCACCAAAATGATGTTGCTGATCTTTCCAGACAACTGTGATACGCGCGTCTACTTTGTTTATTCCTGACAAATCACATTCAAGATAGAATACATTAGTGTACTATGGACACAGTGTTCCATGCTAGTCAATAGGTCTTCTTGCACTCAATTTGGGCCAAAGGTTGAGGGGAAGGGAGGTGGGAGGGAGTGGCAGTGCCTAAACATGAATTACGGTTCCATAAATCAATTTTTCAATGTACCTGAGGAGGATTGCTTGATGAACTAGTGTCTTCTTCCAGTGTTGCATCCAATACTCTTGCTTCTGATTTCTCATTAGAATAACTTCAAGAAAAAGTTCCAGTGTTAGAAAGGAATTCCTATTGAAAAAAATGAAACAAATATAACAAGTAATGAAAGAAAGAGAGGCTAGAAACTTCAGTTGCTCAGAACATTTCAAGGCCTGAATAGCATATAATCCCAGTTCTGCAATATGGTTGTCCAGATAGAGAAAGACAGAAAATTGAGATAAAATTCACACTTAACACCTAATAAACAGTGATAATACTTGCAGCAACTAAACATATACTAAGAACAGTATGCAGAAATTCACATACTTCTTCGCAGATTAGACATGGTGACAAAGATACCTACGTTGACAAAATCGTTACCCAGATAAGTTCCACACAGTCAACCCAAAGAAGCCTTTGTTCGACAGGTATCACACCATAGGTAATCATGTGAGCAAATGGCCAGAGTTTCCAACCAGCCTGAAAAGTGTCAAGAGAGTATCAACAATAAATCATGTCTCGATACCAATAAAAAGGTGGCTAACTGCACATTGATCAAACCCAAGTACAAAATAAACATAGAAGTCAATAATCAAGTTTCCAAATATTTCCAATACGAAAACCTTTAGTAGAATTATTTATAGAATTATTTATAGAATTATAGCATTATGAATCTTCAGAGTGCACCAATGTTAGTGAACCACTTCAGCATATAAAATTTTCCTTTCTGATTTTTCATTACCACCAAAAAACTATGCAGATTACCAAGGGAAATACACAGTTTTGCCATTCACTATTATAAGCAGTGGAAATCAATCACACTAGTTTGCATCATAGTGCAAAGTTTTTCAGATGCCTGCAAGTTAAATCTCATTTGAAGCCATTTATTTATTATTATTATTTTTTAAATACAATTTGCTGAGAAGAGGGGTTTCTCTTTCTCTGGGTTCCTAGTTCTCTGCTGATTTTAAGGCCCATGCTGTTGAAGAAGACTTAAATCCTCCAATACATCATGAACAAGGGGTAGGAAAATGAGAGGTTGATTAAATCCGGAATTTTTGTAGAACCACCAAGAAATTTATAAGACGTTTTTGCCACATTTTACATTGACAGTGGTAGGTGGAAAAATAAACAGCAGGGAAGAGCATGTATGATGAACTCTGCCCTGAAAAAATATGTCCTGAAACAGAATTCCAGCCCAGTAAAATCATGAGTAAACTACATCCTATATTTGCAATGCATAGCACAATACAATGACACCCAAAATGTGCACAGAGAAAGACAGAAGAAAAGCTTCTTACAGTCAGCATAGGCCAAAATGTTGCCTTTAGTTCTCTATAGATATCAGCAGAGGATTCAAAACGCAAGAACCCCAAAACCATATAATAGATACTGTTCCAGATTGCTGCCCAAACTGTTTGGTCAAAGACAACTTTTGCTGGAACAACCCACCAGTCTTGGAAAGGAAACAGAGCCTGGAACTCAAAGTGACTGATTCAGTGATCCCATGAAAACTGAAAAATCAAAGCTATGAAATGAGTAAACTATAAGCCACTACCATTACCTCACAAAATTGGTAATAATAATGAGAAAGGGATCCATGGAGAGTAAAACCAACAAGGCCTGATCTGAACATGCGTGTCCGGTCAAAGTCAAAAAGAGGCTTTCCTTCATAACACTACACATAGGTTACACTATATGAGCTGAATGCAGAATAAGGTTAAGTTTAATGCATTTATTGAGAGGGTGGAGGGAAGGGGAGAAACTTACTTGTGCAATCCAATCTCCTATTGAATAGACGATCCCACTTATTGCCATTTTGGCTAAGACTGGGTTTGCTTTAAGTGCTTGTTCGTATGCAATCCAATTATGTTCCGGAACATATCGGAGTACCTCAAAAAGGGTCCATCCCTGATAATCATTGAAGATGATCAAATAAATGATGAGATGCAAAAAAACAATAACTAGCTGGAAAATCCATCTGTAACTCTTCAAATTTCGCTCCATTATTATTTATAAAAATTACAGGTTCCATGTTTATAAACAATCTTGATACATGCTAAATCCTTATCTATGGAATAGCTAGAGAAATCATGCTCATTAACTTGGTTTTTTAAGCAAAACCTTAAACCCGAAATTTATAGGTATATCTTCTTTATCTTCTTCTTCAAAAACAGAAAGTAAAATAAAGACCCCTTTTTCCAAGGTGAACCTTCAGCGTCCATTGATATGTTAGAAACTTATAAAACACCTCAGCACCTGTCAAAATAATTTCATAAAATGAAGAACTACAGAGGCTATCCAACTAAAGCAAAGAAAGTAGTCAAACTGAGCTACACTATCATTAAATCATACATGCTCTTTTGCAACCAATCTTGATCTAATTCTAAGTAAAACTGGAACCAAAAGATTCTGGTAAAAAAAATGGAACTAAAGATCAAAAGCAAAAGTTGCAAACCCAGGAGAGAACTTACATGCCAGTAATCATGATCTATAGTAAGTAACTTAGAGACAGCAAGCGTGCCAAATCCAAGAACAATCGAGGCATTGATTGCTCTACCACTCAACTTCTCAAAATCATCGTCACCACCTCCTCTCTCTGAAGAAGAAGAGAAAGCTTCTAAAATATTGGACCCATTTGGGAACCAAGGCTTCTTAGCTTCATTCGAATGGCTAGTCTCCA